TGGGGCCTGGCCTGGGCTCCCGTGCCCCGCCCTGTGGTCCCGCCGCTCCCTCCCTTCCTCTCTCCCGGGCCTTGGCGGCTGGAACCGGCCCACCCACAGCTGGGAGGTGCCCTGTCCTTCCAGGGCTGGAGAGAATTGGCGTTAATTGGCAATTCAAGGTAGGCCAGGTGAGGTGGCAGGGACTCGCCCAGGCATTAGCAGGGACTGGGACCCCCAAGACTTTCCAAAAGGCAGGAGAGGAACACCCCCTCCAAACTGCATCCTCCTGCAGGGAAGAGTGAGATCCCAGGGATCTAGAATGGGTGGGAAATTCAACAGGGAAACGGGCGTCCTAACCTAGGAGTGGCCCAAGGACCGGGACCGACTGGGTGCTTTAGAAAAATGGGAGGACAGCTTGTTTTTCTGCAGGTTTCTCAGTTCTTTTACTTGACCCTTCAAACCCTCTGGGCAATTCAGTCTTGGCTTCCGGAAGCAGCTGGGGAGAGATTTTAACCACTCCCTGTTCACTAATACCGGGCTTTCCCAATACTGAGGACATTTGGTCAGGTACAAGTTTTAGGTCGGCTCTGAGGTCAAAGTTCGCATATCCTGGATCTTCCCGTGTGGAACCCCTCAGACTAGGACACTCCTGGCACCTTCCCGAAGGTCCTGTCATTGGTTCATCTGGAATCTCACTTTCCCCTGGGTTAGGTGTTCCTGTGGTTCACCCTCAAGATTCCCTCACCTCCTCTGCCCATAGGTAACACCAGTCACAACTAATTGAAATTGCTTGTTGCTTGGCTTCCCTGCCCGTGAGCTCAGTCACACACACAGTAAAGGTGTTTTAGGCAGCAAGAATGGCACCAGGTGTCTGACAGGTGGAGTCGTGGGTTCAGCAACCTGGGTACTTGGGTCCTGGCTACGAAAGAATTCCGAGCCAAGACCCAACCCCAACCGTAGGAGAACATTTCTTTGATAAATCGCAGACGTAGAAGTAATTCCTAGAAGAAATGGGCTGAGGAAAGGAGGTGGGTTCAGCAACCTGGGTATTTGGGTCCTGGCTACAAAAGAATTCAGAGCCAAGACCCAACCGTAGGAGAACATTTCTTTGAGAAATCACAGACGTAGAAGAAGTAATTCCTAGAAGAAATGGGCTGAGGAAAGGAGCTATGGAGGCAAAGGAAGGGCCTTAGGAGCATGGGAGTGAGGAAGGCAATGGGAATGCACCTGGAATGGGGTGGGGGGAAGGGAAAGGCACCTGGCCGGTGTGCTCTGGGAGGGAGAGCTCCGGGGTTTATTTTATTTATTTATTTAATCTTTATTGTAGAAAGTATTACATTAACCTCTTCCCACCCGCTCCCATCCCCCACCTCTCCCCCCAGGCCCTCATCACTTTATTGTCTGTGTCCAGAGGTTATACATAAATGCATACAAGTTCATTGGTTGATCTCTTCCCATCCACCCTCCCTTGCCTTCCCTCTGAGGTTCAACAGTAACCTCTTCCCACCGCTCCCATCCCTCACCTCTCCCCCCAGGCCCTCATCACTCCATTGTCTGGGTCCGGAGGTTATACATAAATGCATACAAGTTCATTGGTTGATCTCTTCCCATCCACCCTCCCTTGCCTTCCCTCTGAGGTTCAACAGTCTGTTCATGATGTCCTAAGGGTTTTAAAGGTGGAGATTTTAGGGGAAGCCTCAGGAAAAGATCTCAATAGAATACTCAGCAGTTTTCCTGGTGTGTCCTTTCAGGTTGTGGTCTCCACTGATTGATTGTCGGGCACCAGGGCAGGGGATCATTACTCAGTGCAGCTGGTCCTGAGGTCAGCTTTGGCTGGTTTTGTTGCTCTTCTGGGCCTGGAGCTGAAATACAACTGAGATCAGATGTTATCTCTAGGGAGGAAAGGCCAGGGGATCCAAACCTCAAGATTGTTCTTATGCTAGAGAAGGAAAAGTCACCCTGGGGGCTAGGTCCCAACCTACAATTGTCCTTTGCTAGGCACCTGGGGCTTTCCACCCTGGAGAATATAGTCCATCGTCCTTGCTCTGCTCATGCCTATTCCACTGCCTCCCACAAATGCATAATAAATGTTATTGAATGATGACATGCATGTGACAGACTATTAAAGCACCCCTGGCCCAGTTCTTTAAGGAAATTCCCTCACCTATCTTTACCTTATAAGTCTGCAGGACCTTATCTCACAGTTGATATTTCCATGTCTTCCTCCTACCTCTGAGCAGAGTCATCTTCATTTTCATAGAGGTGCTGTTGTAGTAAGAACCTGGGACTTGGTTCCTCTTGTCTGAACTCTGCAATAACTAGCTCTGTGATCTTAGAGGCCTTCAATCTCTCTGATTCTTAGGTCAAAGTCCTAGATACTTTAGGACCTACCAAATTGTAAAAAAGATTTTAAAAAAAACTATTAGGGTGAAGAAAGTTATATAATATTGATTATTTGGTCTGTATAGGAGTGTGGTTCTTAACAATGTTCCACTTTACTCAAACCCTGTAATCCTGGAAAACAATAAGTTCAAGAAATCTTCCCACCCCTTTGTGTTCAGAAGATGGTTTACTGCAAAGAATCATTCTTCCTGAAATGACTTTCATAATACTTACTGACAAAACTTACTTTGTTTATCTGTGATAAACTACTCACAGACCCTTCAAAAACCCCTTTTTTTATTCCCTCACTAAAGGCCCAGTGCACGAAATTTGTGCATGGGTAGGGTCCCTAGGCCTGGCTGGTTCAGGGTCAATTGGGGCCTTCTGACTGCCTGCCGGGGCCTTCCTTCATTCTGCACTGTCCCCTGGTGGTCGGTACACGTCATATTGAGTGATCGGACTCCTGGTCTCCCAGTCAAACTCCCGAGGGGACACTTTGCATATTAGCCTTATATATATTTATAGATTCCTATCTGTAATATGGCCTATCTTTACCTTATAAGTCTGCAGGACCTTATCTCACAGTTGATATTTCCATGTCTTCCTCCTACCTCTGAGCAGAGTCATCTTCATTTTCATAGAGGTGCTGGTGTAGTAAGAACCTGGGACTTGGTTGCTCTTGTCTGGACTCTGCAATAACTAGCTCTGTGATCTTAGAGGCCCTCAATCTCTTTGATTCTTAGGTCAAAGTCCTAGATACTTTTAGGGCCTACCAAATTGTAAAAAAGATTTTAAAAAAAAACTATTAGGGTGAAGAAAGTTATATAATATTGATTATTTGGTCTGTATAGGAGTGTGGTTCTTAACAATGTTCCACTTTACTCAAACCCTGTAATCCTGGAAAACAATAAGTTCAAGAAATCTTCCCACCCCTTTGTGTTCAGAAGATGGTTTACTGCAAAGAATCATTCTCCTGAAATGACTTTCATAATACTTACTGACAAAACTTACTTTGTTTATCTGTGATAAGCTACTCACAGACCCTTCAAATCCCCCCTTTTTTATTCCCTCACTAAAGGCCTGGTGCACGAAATTTGTGCATGGGTAGGGTCCCTAGGCCTGGCTGGTTCAGGGTCAATTGGGGCCTTCTGACTGCCTGCCGGGGCCTTCCTTCATTCTGCACTGTCCCCTGGTGGTCGGTACACGTCATATTGAGTGATCGGACTCCTGGTCTCCCAGTCAAACTCCCGAGGGGACACTTTGCATATTAGCCTTATATATATTTATAGATTCCTATCTGTAATATGGAGAAGTTGGATTAGATAGACCAAGATCTTTTTTGACTCCCAAAATAATGAATTCCAAAGCAAAATTTCAAAAAGAAGAAGAAGAAGAAGAAGAAGAAGCAAGTCAGACCTTTTAGACCTCAACAGAAGAGCAAGGTTGCAGCTAAGAGCCAAACTGGGCACTTGCAGGTATTTTATTTGACTAGCCTGGCATTATTGTTGCCATTATTTTTTAAAATTGGATTTGAATATTAAAGGTCTCACCTCTCTTTATAGTCTTCACCATTTATATTATCTGTTTGGCCACTGAAGACATTTAGTTTGTGTTTCTAGAGTACTTTTGTGCTCTCAGAAAATTACAAAAATGCCTCCTCCCTCTCCTCCCTCCATATCAACAGAGATAGCTAGGCAGTGATACAATGATGTCTATTAATCTCTACATGGTAGGGGTAGGATTGGGCGTTTGAACAAATGGACACATTTCATTTATAATTGAAATGTGTTTCTTTGGTAATAAGATGCTATCCAGGACAACCCTCTCTCATTTTTAAGCTCTGTAAGATTTTTACTGAATAAAATAAACATCCCTGGAGGTGTGTGGTAATTTAACTTTAAATTGGAATAGATTCTCTGGCATATTATAATACAAAAAAAAATGAATAGAGATAATGCATAAAGAAATTAATTTGGTCATTTCTGGGGAAAAAATAACTTGTGATGTTTTGATACATGTCCAAAAGTTCTATGATATTCTTCCCTTTAGTGGAGCCTAATTTCCCTCCCTTTGAGTGTGGGCTATACCTAGTAATTAACTTCTAACAAATATGATGAATTAGGAATGATGAAGAGTCACATCTACATCCTAAAGTGACATTGTAACTTCCATTTTATTCTCACTCTGTCTTGGATCACTCTCTCTAGAGAAAGCCAACTAATGTGTTCTTAGGGCATTCAAGTAGCTGTATAGAGAGGCCCAGGTGGTTAGGAAGTAAAGCCTCCTGCCAATAGCCATTATGGAACTGAGGCCAACTCATATGAAGATACCATTATGGAAATGGATCCTCTGATCCCAGCTGACATCTTGACATCTTGGAACACATCTTGACTGCAATCTCGTGTGAGATCCTAAACCAGAACCATACAGTTCAGGCACTCTTGGGTCCCTAACCCATAGACACTCTGCTATAATAAATGTCGTGGTGATTTGTTACACAGCAATAGGAAACTAATACAAAACTTATTTAAGAAACTTTCCTGATGATGATGTGCTAAAGATGATGATACTGATAATATTGGGCATTTTTAGATGCTTCTGCCGTATAATGATTTATGTATCTTCCAAAGACATTTTTGATAGCAGGAACTATGTGGACACTTACCATTCTTCTTAACTACCCAGTCTTTGACCCTGTTTTTTTATGTTTGCAAAATCCTCACCCTCCTAATGAGACAGAGCCTATATCTCCCTGGAGAAACTGCAAAACAGTGCCATTGCTTACTCTTTAATATTC